GTCGCGAATCGTTTCGTCCCCCTCGCCCCCTCCCCGCCCCCCTCGCCCCCCCCCCCTGTCCACGCTTCCCAGGGTAGCCCCCCGGCTCTTGGGGAACCACTGAGGCACTCTTGGCCGAGGCCTAGAAACAAAACCAGGCCAGGCCCCAGAAATCGTCGTCGTCGTCGTCCTCCTCCTCCGCTTTCTTCCTGGATCCTCCTAAACCCCTCCTGGAGGAAGGAGGCGAGGGCCTCCTGTCCTTCGCAGCTCCTTTGTGCAAGAGCCAGGGCACGCGTGCCACTTGTTTTTGTGAGAGTTCAACAACAACAGCAACAACAACACCACCACCAACAACAACAATAACAATCATGTTACCCTCATGCGCGATGTTTCCAAACGAAGCATGCAACCATCATGATGACCATCCCCATCATGGGGGACTCTTGTTCTTTTGCGGGGCCCGTTATTCCCATTCCCAGATTTCCCGCCCAATGAGGTCCTGCAAACACCTCCTCCGAGGAACGTCAACATATCCCGCCTCGACAACACATGCCCGCGCCTTGCTGCGCCGATGCGAGACCGCCAGTGGAGCCCCAGCCAAGGGTAAAGCACAAGGAAGTATCGAGCGACAGGATTGCCTTGATGGGGATGGGAGCTGTCGGCGGCGAGGCAAGGACCGGGTCCTGAATAGAAAGGAAGACAGTCTTGAGCAGAGCCGCTGTTGATGCTGGGACGCCAGTGCTGAAGAGAGCAGAGCGCTAGTCCAACGTAAAACGGGAGCCAGTCTCGGGCGGGAGCGTTGGTTTTGTTGGGACGGCGGTTTTCAGCGGCGAGGAGGAGCACCGCCTTGAGTTAAAAAGGGAGGGAGCCTCGAGCGGGAGCCGTGGTTTTGTCGGGATGGGGGCTGTCGGCGGCGAGGAACAGCACTGTCCTCAGGAAAAAAGAAGAAGCCTCGAGCCGGAGCGATGTTCTTGCTGGGAGCGGCGCCAATGAAAAGAGAGTAGGGCGCCAGTCCAAGGTAAAACGGGAGGAAGTCTCAGGCTGGAGCGTTGGTTTTGTTGGGACGGCGGTTTTCGGCGGCGAGGAGGAGCACCGCCTTGAGTAGACAAGGGAGGAAGCCTCGAGCGGGAGAGTTGTTGTTGCTGGGGGCGGCGCCGATGAGAGAAAGAGTAGCGCGCCAGTCCAAGGTAAAACGGGAGGAAGCCTCGAGCGGGAACGCTGGTTTTGTTGGGGCGGCGGCTTTCGGCGGCGAGCAAGAGCACCGGCCTTGAGTAAGAAAGGAGGAAGTCTCGAGCGGGAGTGTTGTTGTTGTTTGGGGGGCCGTTTTGGCGACCCCCCAAACCGCTCGAGCGTGAGCTTCATTTTCAATGAAAGTGTAGCCAGCGCCGAGGCGAGAGCGCCAGGGCGCCTGGGGGGTCCAACAATAATAATTGCTTAGTAATTAACATTCAACAGCAACAACAGCACCAACACCACCACCACCACCAGCTCCACCAACAACAACAACAACGACGACGACAACAACAACGGCTCCCGCCTGACACGTCCTGACAGCTTGTTTCCAACTCGCGCTCGCGCGCGGGACATTCTCACAAGTGATTGCAGGAATCGCGCTCTCGCGTGGGATTTCCTCGTAATGTATTCATACGCCGCGCCTCGACGCTCAGGAGTCACGCTCTCGCTTGGGCCTTTTCTCGCGACTTACTTGGGAATCTAGCTATCGCTCGAGTTCTCCCTGCGACTTACGCAGTGCTCACGCTTCTGCAGCACGCCCTCTGGACCTGGCCGCTTGGGCCCACCCTTGCCGACCCGTCCCTGAGGGTCTCCCCGCCCGATGGGCCCGTTTGGTTCTGCCACGCGTTTTCTTCTCCTGGCCACCCGTCAGGATGAGGAACGGTCGGTCCCTGCTCAACTCCCCCCCCACCCCCAGCCTGTGTTACAGGGCCGCGCAGGTGTTGCCACGTTCCTGCGCCCGCTGGGGGGGGGCCCAGCGTGACGGCCATCTGCAGGACCTCGCGAACGATTTCGTGCTGTTAAGCGTCTCGGGAGGGTAGGGTGGAGTGGCGTTCCTGGGGGATGCCTTCTTGCTGGTATCCCAGGCCCAGAGCCTCGCCGGAGGCTCCTCTGGGTTCCTCCCGGGGGCTTCGCGGGGCCCAGGTGGGCCTCTCGGGGAAGTCTCAGGGCATTTGGGGTGGGGGGGGGGCTTGGCCAGTTTCCTTTCGTTTTTTGGGCACCTGGGCGGATCTCCAGGCCGTCTTTGGGGAGGGCCTCGGGCCCAGGTCTGCCCGTTGAGCTGGTCGCCCCTGGGAGGTTGCGCAAACCTTGCCAGACAGACAGCTAAGCTAGGTGCAGACATGGCAACACGCTACCAACGTGCCCGGGGCACGGTGGCGGATTGCTGGGGGCTCTCGGGGACCTTGCCGACCAAGAAGGCTGCGGACGTGGTCAAGATGGCCGCCTTCTTCAACGTGGACCTCGCGGGCGTCAGGCAGCGATCCCGCCCCGCGTACGCCCCGAGGCCCATCTGCCAGCAGTGGCTGGACCATTGCGTGCGGCGCAACACGGCGGGGCTGCAGGAGCTGCGGAGTGAGGAGGAGATCGTGCTGGTGCGCCAGCACCCGGCGGAGCGCGCCCTGTACCTCCAGCTGGCGCACGCCGCCTCGGACCTGGACCTGGCGGGCGAGGAGGACGCCGCCGCGCTCCTCTCCCTGCGACGCCGCGGCCAGGAGGGGCTGGCGACCGGCGGCTCCAAAGGGCCGGAGAGCCTTGGGAGACGCGGGGCCCGGAGGACGAGGGGCCGCGGCCAAGGAGCAGACTCAGCCGTGGGACCTGTCCTGCCCTCGGGCCCCCGCGGCCCCTGCATGGCCATGCCAGGCAAGGCAACGCACGGCCAAGCTGTGCCAGGCAATGCTGCTTACAGTGGAGGCCCATGCCAAGAAGCACCCTGCTTGCCTCCAGGGTGCCCTTGGTTTCTTGGGCTTCGATGGTTTTGCTATGGAAAGCGTGACGTTCCCACACCAAAAATCCGTGGACGTCCTGGGGTCTCAGGGTTGGGTTTCTTGTGGAAGGTTCCTTGTGGACTGGCCTCCACTGTATGAAGCGTTCCCCAGATCGGGGTCGGACAGGCCCCATGCTGGACCCAGACTTGCGGCGGAGAGCGAAGCTGCTTGGAAGCCGAGCGTTCTTTCCTCCGGGGGCCGTGCGGCGCTGGCCCCCCCTCGGGTCCTGCCCCTCGTCCCCAAGAGCGCCCACTTCTCCTCCTCCTCCTCCTCCTCCTCCTCCGCCTCCTCCTCCTCCTCCTCTTCCTCCTCCTCCGCCTTCCCCCCCTCCTCCTCCTCCTCCTCCTCCTCCTCCTCCTCCTCCGCCTCCTCCTCCTCCTCCTCTTCCTCCTCCTCCTCCTCCTCCTCCTCCTCCTCCTCCTCCTCCTTCTCCTCCTCCTCTCCTCTCCTCCTCCTCCTCCTCGTCCTCCTCCCCCTCCTTCCCTCCTCCCTACCTCCTCCTCCTCCGCCTCCTCCCCTCCTCCTCCTCCTCCTCCTCCTCCTCCTCCTCCTCCTCCTCCTCCTCCTGCGCCTCCTCCACCTCCTCCTCCTCCTCCCGCCCGAGGTGAAGCTGTGCTCCCACTTCCAGCTCAGCGGAGGCCAGCTCCAGCGCTCGGCCCTCGACGAGTGCGACGCCGTGCTGCAGCGCCGCACGCGCGAGCTGGCCTCCTCCCGGCAGGCCGTGCGGAGGGCGCTCGAGGAGGCCTGGGCGTTGGTCCTGCAGGTCTCGAGGAAGAAAAAACGCCACAAGCATAAACTGTTGGCGCTCCGCGCGGATCTCTTGGGTCCGCGTTGGGGCCCCGCTGGCGGCGCCCGCGGCGCCGCCCCTGGCGCGCTCCGCGCGCCAGGGAGGGGGGACCAGCGCAGATCCAGGAAATCCGCACGGAGCGCCAAAAGTTTGTGTGTATGATGCTTTCTCTTCTTCGTAAGGTCGACCCCCTGCGGCACCTGGCCGACGGCCTGAACGAGGCGCGCCAGAGGTGGGCCGAGCTCCGCGCTGCCTTCCCCCAGCGCTCGCCCTCCGGCGCCTCCGCGGGGGGCGAGGACCCCTCGGAGGAGGCCCGGAGGCACTTCCACTGCTGCCTGGCCGACGTGGAGGCGATGCCCGCGGGCTCGGCGGTCGGGTTGACGAGATCTGCACGCCTCCACCGCCCTGCTCTGGACCCCTCCTGGGCCTGGGAGCGGCGACTTTGCCTCCCTGGCCCAGCCAGGGGGAGGCGTATACCCAGACATCCGCCGACATGATTTGCGCAATCCGTGGCCCCAGAGATTCCGACGGATTCCCCAGGCGGTAGTTCTGCGTCCCGGCTCGATGTTTTATGACCCAGGGGCCCGACAATCGGCCCCTGAGGGCTGACATCGACGGAAAGCCGCCGACGATGGAAAACACATCGCAGGAGATATCGGTGTATGGACCCCGTCGCCCCAGGTGGCCATGCCCGAGCCCCTCCGCCAGCTGCTGCGCAGGTCTCGGGGGCAACGTCACTACGGGGGATAGGCTCAGGGTAGGATTCGTCGACCGCCCAGCGCCCACTCATCCTGCAATGGGGAACCGGCCGCTGAGGACTCTTGTCGGGGGCTCCTCGCCGCGTTTTTGTGGCGATTTGTCACCGATTGAAGCTCAATGCTCCCCCCCCCTGGGCCGGTCCCCTGGCAGTCCTCCTTCCGTAATTCGGCTTTGCGGCAGCTGCGCGGAACGATTCGGGCACCACAAGACCGCTCGGCGACGCGCAGCTGCTAGACGGCATCCCGAGGCAGAAGAGCCGCCGAAAATTTACGAGAACGCCCGCAAACCCCACTCGAACCTGGAACCCTCCAGGCTCCCTCCTCCCCCCTGTGTCGTTCCCCCCTGAACTGGCTCCCCCGTACTTCGGGCTGTTCAGTGAGCAGCAGATGGAGAGGAGGAGGAGGAGGAGGAGGAGGAGGAGGAGGAGGAGGAGGAGGAGGAGGGAGGAGGAGGAGGAGGAGGGGGAGGAGGACGAGGACGAGGAGGAGGAGGAGGAGGAGGAGGAGGAGGATAAGGAGGAGGAGGAGGAGGAGGAGGAGGAGGAGGAGGAGGAGGAGGAGGAGGAGGAGGATGGGGAGGAGGAGGTCCCAGCCACCCCCGCCCGACGGCCCGCTCCAGCCCCCCCCCACGCCCACCGAGCCTACCCCGCCAAGCGATCCAACTCCCCCCACGCCCCGCGAAGGACAGCTGATGCGACCCCCCCCCACGCTTATGGAACAGCTCGGAGCAGAGTTGCCCCGCAAGGCCCCTTCTTCGTCGCCGTGCCTTCTCCTCCTCCTCCTCCTCCTCCTCCTCCTCCTCCTCCTCCTCCTCCTTCTCTCCGTGGCCATTGTGGCTCAAGATGGAGCCACCGCCCCGTGGCTCCAGCTCGGCCGCAGCCAAAGGGTTGGCCCGAGACCCATCATGGCGGTCAGGCGGCCACTCCACGATCCTCCAATGAGCCTGCCCAGGCGGCTGGAGCTTGCTCTTCGAGATTCCTCGCATCACGCCTGTCACACCGATGGCAAGGCAGGCCAAGAACTCGCCGTGAGAACGGAGAAGACGCTGACGAGGTGCTCGATGGAATCGCGTCAGTATTCGAGGAGATCAAGAAGACAAATGCGACGGTTGCCAACATCGAGAAGGGTATGGCGACACTGAAGGAGATTCAAGGCCAGCTGGCCGAGCACGCCAAGAGGATCAAGGCCATGGAGGACCGCATGGACGAGGCCAACCGCCTGATCCACGGCGACATCCAGAAACTGGTCGAGACCGCCATCGAAGCCAAGTGAGAGTCCCCATCTCGTTCGGCTGGGTGTGGCACGGGTACGTGGGCGAACCCCGTCGGTGATGAGAAGCTTGCCGACCTGTCCAGGGTATGGATTGGAAGTTTCACTCGTCATATGATTGGCTCGGCCATGGCAGAGCACGCTGAGACAGCGTTGGTGGATTTCGCGGAGTCGGTCTCAATGGGCGCCACCCACACTTTTTGATCCGCGGATCGAGAGCGCACTTCTTCCGGTCGAGGCTAAGCGGGCCGCGCACAGCTTGAAGTAAAGAGAGAGGGGCAGAAGGAGGGGCCTCACATCAAGGCCAGGAGGGGGCAAAGCCCCGGAATCAGGCGGTGCCGAAGACGATGTGCTTGCAAAGGAACGCCTTGGACAGGAACCCGGCGGCGAAGTACCTGAAGAAGCAAAATGTTGTATGGTGGTGCCGTCAACGGCGCGTCGTACACCAGCCTCAAGTGGCGGCAGGAGAGGACTCGCCTTGTATCCTAGAGGCGACGACCAGGGAAGGTAGGGAGCATCGCTGAGCCGAAGTGCAACGTTGCGCCACCGATCAGGATGCGGGAGCAGGGCCGTGGTTGTCCAAGGCGCCACCCACACATGCCATAACCTTAGCCAGAGCTACTTCATCAAGTGCGGCCCCCTCCATCCATTGCCAAGGATGTCATCGAGCATGCACGTGCTGGCGGCCTGTACTACGAAGATCCAGTTACCAAGGGGCGACTCGACTTGCGTTGCCGCCTGGACGCCCCAACCACGGTCCGTGCAAAGAACCAGTTCTTGGGCTGCTTGTGGCAGAAGCCGCTTGGCGAGATGAGCCGCGTGAAGTTATGGGATCCTCAGCGGTATCAGCTGGGCTCCAATGGCTACAAGGGCTGCCTTTACGTGATCGAGAAGGGAGCGCAGAGCATCACGGTGCTATACAACATCACGTCCGCGCACAACGCGTCCTACTATCGAGCCGCTCACGAGGGTCTGAGCATGTTGCGAACCTCCCGGGAGAAGGCCGCTGAGATGGTCAATGAGGCTCAGTCTGGCTACCGTGCAGCCTGGCACTGGCGCGATGCTCCGTGGCGGTCTCTCGTGTCGGATGGCCATGGCTCGCCAAGGCCGTTGGTTTCCAGAAGGAAGGGCGAACTCGATCTTATTCCAGACGCCTGCGGTGGTTCGGCGGTCCTCTTTGCACTCGCCGGCCAGGGCGGCATCGAGTGCGTCGTGTTGAGCTAGCTTGGGTTTCTCCTCGGCAGCGTCTTCCGCGGCAGCGCGCGCGACGCGGCCCATGGCTCCTTCTGCTTCCTCCTCCTCGTCTGCTGGCTCCTGCTTCGCAGCCTGCGCCAGTTCCTCCAGTGCGTCCACTGGCCCCTCTGCTTCCTGTTCCGCGGGCGTGAGCCCGCCAGCGCACGATTCCGCATGCCGTCTGAAGAAAATTGAGCATTGTTGCGCGGAGTTGCCGCACACTTTTTTGCATCGGTCCACGCTCCTGTCCGCGCGGTCCAGAGGACGTTCCAGGTTCTTGCTGAACCTATGCCCAAGCATGATGCGCTACTTTAGCAGGAAGCTCACGGACAGAAAGAGGATCTTAGTACCGCGTTCAGGGAGTTTTCGGGCTGCGTGCTTGGGGCTCTTTTATCGCGTCAGGCATTTCAGGCGGCGTGTGCATCCTTGCTCGCCCTCGGCTTATCCTGGACTTCGAGCGCACCCTTCCTCGGAAGCTCACCCCTGGGCGTCTTTTCGAGATCGCGCTCCGCGGGCCCAAGGGCACCTCGCAGGTTCCCAACCTCAATCTCGACCCCTCGCCCTCCATTGCTGTTAGAAAGTTGGTCTTGGGACGAGCTCGTTCGACGCTGCGGCTGGCTGCGAAGGCCGCCTCGCTTTTGTTAGGCGGCTTCGATCTCCCCGCCGACGGCGAGACCAGGCAACGGGCGGCATGATAGCACACATGCCGCTCCTTCACATCGTCTGGGGAGGCTCTGCCTTGCGATTGTTAGAGAACCACTAGATCTCGAACAACGCTCAGCTGATTGTTGATTCCAGCTGGGGAGGTTCTACCTTGCGATTGTTGGGCGACTTCAGCTAAGCTGAAGTCGCTCAACATCTGCCGACTCGCCGGTCGTGGATGGAGCGCGGGGGGGATTCTTTCTATGGGGCGGCTGGGCAAAGTGAATACCGACATGTTCTCGGGGCCGCTCATGGATAACAGTGAAGCCCAACTCCCTGGTGCTAAACAGTGTCCTGGACCTCGAATGCCCGCCGGACCGCGTCCCTCTTTGCACCGTAGATCCGAGGCCCGAAAACCATCACTTCACTAATTTTGGGCCCCAGGGCCCACTGAGGCCCCAGGGGCGCCAGATTAGTGAAGTGATGTTTTTTTCCCATGTAAGGACCCCGAAATTCATCACTTCACTAAACCGAGCCCAGGACGAAAGTCAGGGGCCGAATTGCTGCTGTGATGCAACATCGGTCTCGTAGTAGAGCTCTTCTTCGAGCCGTTGCTGCGCGACTGCTCGCGCGTCTGGAGCGCCGTCAGGCGTCGTCGCCAGCGGAGAAGCTCCCTTTCTGGGGCCTTGGCGGCGACGCGCGCGGTCGAGGCAGGTGCCACGCATCCTCGACGGCGATCTTTGAGTGCGTATCCAGAGCTGCGTGACTTCATCGACTGCGACTCGGGGGCCCGGTTTCGGCCATCGGCTTTCCATCGCCACCTCTCTTCGCTGCGCTTCCCCAGGGGAATACATCGCGGGCAGCTCAACCAGCTCGAGCACGCCGGCATCCTCCTGCTCCTCCTCCTCCTCCTCCTCCTCCTCCTCCTCCTCCTCCTCCTCCTCCTCCTCCTCCTCCTCCTCCTCCTCCTCCCCCTCTCTTCTGCCCTTCCTGCCGGTCCGTGGGCAGCTTGACCAGCTCGAGCGGGCAGCTTAACCAGCTCGAGCTGGGCTTCTCCCGTATCGGACAGCTTGGGGAACCTGCCAGGCGCGCGGTTGTCCTGCAGGGGCTGGTCGACCCCTCTGGCGGTCGAATCTCTGATCCCGACTCGATGGCGAGAGAGCCACCAGACACTGGGGCTGCGTCCACAGCGGAGGTTCTCGCTGCGAGCGAGCGCGCCAGATAATCGCGCCGCGCATCCAGGAGTGCCCCGATCGCAGTCGCTGGAAGCTTGAGTTCGATGCTTTCGCCGATGCACGGTGCGGCGCTGTCGGGGCAGTGCCCCCGGGCCCCGCGGGCCCCCTTGTTACGCCTGGGCTCGCGCGGGGGGCGGTCTTCGAAGTGCCCCGCGCCGTCTATGAAGGGGTCCTCGAAGGCCAGAGTTTTGGGCGAGTCGTTCAATTTTGCGATGTGCGTTTCCCTGGCCAAGGGCTCCTCGGCGGCCGGCAGCTCCTCGGAAGGCATTTTCTCTGCCGCCGGCCCCCCCAGTGTTAGTGCGGGCGGCCGCGCTGGGTTTCCACGGGGCCTCTCGGGGGTCTCCTCGAGGCTTCTCGGGGGCCTCTCGGGGGTCTCCTCTGGGCTTCTCGGGGGTCTTGGGGCCCAGTGGAAAACAGTACTTCGGGTCTCCCGATGGTCTCCTCGAGGCCACTTGGGGGCCTCTCGGGGACCTCTCGGGGCCTCGGGTGGCTTTCTCGTGGCCTCCCTGGGCCCTCTCGGGGCGGAGAGGTGGGCACGTTCCTCGGCGAGGTCGGGAGCGGCGAGGACGCGCGCAGACTGCACGT